AATTGATAAACCATTAGCCAGACTCATCAAGAAAAGGAGGGAGAGGACTCAAATCAATAAAATTAGAAATTAAAAAGGAGAAGTTACAACAGACACTGCAGAAATACAAAGCATCCTAAGAGACTACTACAAGCAACTCTATGCCAATGAAATGGACAACGTGGAAGAAATGGACAAATTCTTAGAAAGATATAACCTTCCAAGACTGAACCAGGAAGAAATAGAAAATATGCACAGACCAATCACAAGTAAAGAAATTGAAACTGTGATTTAAAATCTTCCAACAGGGCTTCCCTGGTGGCGCAGTGGTTGAGAGTCCGCCTGCCGATGCAGGGGACACGGGTTCATGCCCCAGTCCAGGAAGATCCCACATGCCGTGGAGCGGCTGGGCCCGTGAGCCATGGCCGCTGAGCCTGCGTGTCCGGAGCCTGTGCTCCACAACGGGAGAGGCCACAACAGTGAGAGGCCCGCCTACCGCAAAAAAAAAAAAAAAAAACAAACTAAAAATAGAATTACCATATGACCCAGCAATCCCACTACTGGGCATATACCCAGAGAAAACCATAATTCAAAAAGACACATGCACCCCAGTGGTCAGTGCAGCACTATTTACAATAGCCAGGTCGTGGAAGCAACCTAAATGCCCATCGACAGACGAATGGATAAAGAAGATGTGGCACATATATACTATGGAATATTACTCAGCCATAAAAAGGAACAAAACTGGGTCATTTGTAGAGACATGGATGGATCTAGAGACTGTCATACAGAGTGAAGTAAGTCAGAAAGAGAAAAACAAATATCGTATATCAATGCATATATGTGGAACCTAGATAAATGGTACAAATGAACTGGTTTGCAGGGCAGAAACTGAGACACAGATGTAGAGAACAAATGTATGGGCACCAAGGGGGGAAAACGGCAGGGGTGTGTGTGTGTGTGTGTGTGTGTGTGTGTGTGTGTGTGATGAACTGGGAGATTGGGATTGACATATATATACTAACATGTATAAAATAGATAACTAATAAGAACCTGCTGTCTAAAAAATAAATAAAATAAAATTCAAAAAATATATATTTATTTATTTTTTAGCTGCTTTGGGTTTTCATTGCTGTGCACAGGCTTTTTCTCTAGTTGCGGTGAGTGGGGTCTACTCTTCGTTCTGGTGCACGGGCTTCTCATTTTGGTGGCTTCTCTTGTTGCGGAGCACCAGCTCTAGATGCACAGGCTTCAGTAGTTATGGTGCGTGGGATCAGCAGTTGTGGCTTGCGGGCTCTAGAGCGCAGGCTCAGCAGTTGTGGTGCACGAGCTTAGTTGCTCCATGGCATGTGGGATCTTCCTGGACCAGGGATTGAACCCATGTCCCTTGCATTGGCAGGGGGATTCTTAACCACTGTGCCACCAGGTAAGTCCCTTTTTTTTCATTTTTCCATGTGATTTGGAGATTCGTCCACACCAGTGCATAGAGGAGTTCTTCCTTTTTTAAACAGCTGCATAAGATTCCATCACAGCATTTATTTAACCAGGATCCCAAGGAGAACATTTAAAATGTTTCCAGGACTTCTCTGGTGGCGCAGTGGTTAAGAATCCACCTGCCAATGCAGGGAACATGGGTTCGAGCCCTGGTCTGGGAAGATCCCATCTGCCAAGGAGCAACTAAGCTCGTGTGCCACAACTACTGAGCCCACATGCCACAACTACTAAGGCCTGCACGCCTAGAGCCTGAAAAGAAGCCACCGCAATGAGAAGCCTGCGCACCACAACGAAAAGTAGCCCCCACTCGCCGCAACTAGAGAAAACTCGCACAGAAATAAAGACACAATGCATCCATTAATTAATTAATTAATTAATTGATTTAATTTAATGTTTCCAGTCTTCTGCTACTACAGTGAATAACATGGTGTAACATGGGTTAATATTTTACATTTAAATCTTTGATGCATTTGGAATTTATCTTGCTGTAAGGTATATGGCTCAAACTTCTTTTTTCCTAAATGACTACTTATCATCTCAATAACCTATGTTGAATAAAACATTTTTCTGCCCACTGATTTAAAATGCAACAGTAATCAAAGACTGGAGCCACTAGATTTTAAGCAGGAGAATGTATAATTAAATTTGCTTTCATTTATTTTTGTCTTGGGTAAAGGGTGCTTTATTGTTTTGTTTTTTGTGGTTTTTTTGTTTGTCTGGTTGGCTTTCAGGTTTTTTTTCTGGAATCTTAGTTCCCCCACCAGGGATCAAACCTGTGCCCACTGCAGTGGAAACATGGAGTCCTATCCTCTGGACAACCAGGGAAGTCCCATGTCTTAGTTAGAGCTTTTGATATAATTATTTCAACTATACGGAATTCTGTTTTATTCTGGGGATAAGCCCTGAAAAAATAAGAAATCTTCCTTTCTATGTCCATTGTAAAAATCCAGATTCACAGTCATATATGTGGCAACGCTATGATAAATATAACTTTATTGTCCCATTTTATAGACTGGAAAACTGAAGCAGTGAGAAATTAAGAAAGTTGCTCAATATCACACTAGTAAGTGACTGAGTCCAAGCTATTCACCATTATGATACAGACCTGCTTAAAGAAACATCAAATGATGGAAAGTTGCCTCTTCCTTCTACCATTAGCCCCCTCTACTCTGAGACACTACTGCTTTTCCCCTCTGGTCTCCGGAGTGCAATGACTTAATATTTCTGGCTTTCAGGTTGGTTTACACTCTCAATGACACCTCCAGCCTCCTCTGCTATCAGCAGCCCCGGGGCCTCCTTCCTGCCTCTTTCCATCAAGATCTGCTCCAACTTTCACCTGTTTCCCATTGAACTGGGGAATCTCTAGTTTCTCTGCAATTCCTGGTTTCTGCTGGTCGAACTGCTTCTTGTGCAGAGACTTTACATACTTGAAAAATTAAGTCACTGTCACCAAGCACTTTGTGGTCAGGGAAGGCAAGTTTCACCCTCCTTCTACCAACATTCAAAGGGCAAATGATTTGTCTCAGGACCTGTATTGAATGCAGGGCCCTGGAGCTAATTATGGCCAAACACTTATTGAGCAGATGGTAGGCTCTTTATATTCTCTTTCACTGAATTCTCACAGTAACTGTGTGAGGGATGTGGCCTGGCTGAGCAGGTGGAGGCCTTGGTGGTCCACGCTCGTCACAGGCACAGGCCAGCTTTCCAACAGCCTGGAGAAGGCACTGTGTTGGGGAGGAATGACTGGGAGTCCTCCTAGATAAACCTGACATTGTCAGACAGACACTGCCAGAAGGAAGATCACGTCGGGAGGGAGGCTTACAGAGCAGGATCAGGATTTTGAAGCATCAAGTGTAAATTTACTCATCTTTTTGTCTACCTGGCGTTCCATCTCATTTGAAGGTTATATGGCTAGGTGGCCCAGTGTCTGTCTGTCCAGCTGGAGATCTGTGTGGCTCACTGAGTATCTACCTGTCTAGATGGGGTCTGTCTGGCTGCTTTCTGGCTGGGGGTCTGCATGTCTGTCCAGTCATGGGTTTGTCTGAGGATCTTTTCAAGTTAGGAGTCGGTCTGTCCGGAGTTTATTTTTCCAGCTGAGTCTACTTGGAGGTTTACCAGTCTATCAGTATGAGGTCAGTCCACGTGACTGTGAGGCTAGAGGGCTGTCTTGCTGGCTGCAGATTTGTCTGCCAAGCTGGTGGTCTGTGTGCATCTGCTGTCCAGCTCAAGGGCTGGAGGCTTGTCTGGCTAGAAGCCTGTGTGAACAGCTAGGGGTCTGACTTGTTGGGGTCCAGTCATCTGTCCAGATGGGGGTCTACGCGTTCATCTGGTTTGGGGGTCTGTTCATCCAACTTGGGATCTAGCTGGCCAGTTGGCTTGGGGTCCATTTATTTCTCTGGCTGAGGATGGTGTGTCATTGTGGCTAGGAATCTATCTGTCCGACTAGGAGTCCACCCATCCAATGGGGTCCTATGTATCTGAGGGCTAGGAGCCCATCTGGCTAGCAGGGATTCCATCTACCTGAAGATTTGCAGTGTGTGTCCAACTGGCAGATGGTCTGGGTAGTGGAGGATCTGTCTGGCTCATGATGCTTTTTCTATATGAGGGTCCATCTGCCTATGTGACCAGTTGACTGCCTGAGTGTCCACCTGGGTGTCTTCCCAGCAGAAGATATATCAATTTCTCTGCCAAAATGGGGGGTCTGCCCACCTGTCTGCCTAGTTGGAAGTCTGGCTGGCTGGGTGGGGTGTCTGTGTAATCAAGGGTCCGTGTGGCTAGTATCTGCCTGGCTGGAGTCCAGTTGGCTAGTTGGGAGTCTGTGTGACCAGGTCTGTCAGGCCTGTCTGCCATGGGAGTGGGTCTGTGTAGCTGGGAGGTCTGTCTAGCTGAGAGGACATCTGTGTCTATTCAGCTGGGTATCTCTTTACATCTGCCTGGGAGTCTGTCTAGCCAAGGGTTTATCTGGCTGATGTCCGTCTAGCTGCTTAGCTGGGGGAAGTGGTCTGTCTTTTGGGTGGTCTGTTTTGCATGGAGTGGTCTGTTAGGCTGTCAGTGGGTCACTCTCTCTGGCTGGAGGTCCACCCATGGACTGTCCCTCTGAAGGTCTGGCTGTCTAAGGGAATTGCTATATGCCTGTCCAGGTTGGGATTCCATCTGTCTGCCTGCCCATCTGGGGATCTTTTCACCTGTCTGAAATCAGTCTGCTTGGCTGTTGTTATGCCTGGCTTCCATCTGTCTGAATGGTGGAGGTCAACGGGGGTCCATCCATCTCCCTGTGTTATAAGCTGAGTGTCTGAGTGAGGGAGGCTCAGATACTGAGATGAACCAGTCCTTCAAGTGGTGAAGGGGACAGTCTCCAGAAGCGTATCTGTCCATCCTTCCCTTCACAGCCGGGAGCCCTGCCCAGACTCTTGGGGTTGAATTTATTCTTGAATATGCTCAGTGTAACCTCACCAGCCATCGTCAACCAACTACCTCCCCAAGCCTCACGCCTTGAACGTTATGATCACTGAGGCAAAGCCCCCATATTTTCCACACTGAGAAACTTTTATTTTGATTCAGCCCAGCAACCCCATTCCCAGCACGTCACAGAGTAGAGCACGGCCCTCAGCAGTCCAGGAACCCACGTGGACCAGGCACCCAACAGGCAGGCAAGGGCGCTGCACTCACACGCGGGTCCACTCGGCAGGCGGGTCCCGGGGTCCTTTAGGCCTTCCAATGCGCAGGTTGAAGCCTGGAAAAGGAAGGGCACCGTAGGGATCACGGAGAAGCTGAGGTGCAGAGAGGTAGGCAACTCGTGGAAAGTCACCCCCAAGCCTCCAGGCCCTCACGGTTTGCTGCTGACACATCCACAGGACTCCGAGGGCGTGTGTTTTCCTAACACCATCTTAAAGCCCCAAATGCCTGGGATTCAGTTAAAACTGTAGAGAGTCCCAGCGACCCAGGCTGTCTGACTTACCTAGCCCACCAGTCTGAGCTCCATCTACCACGTCCTCGTAGGCGCCAGGCCCTGCTGGGCTTTGGTCAACAGGAACTGCGGGCAGAAAACCACCTAACAGATCGGCTCAGGCCGCCCCTCGAAGTTCCGGAGAGCCACTCGGAGGCAAATGCGCATCCTCCCAGGCCAGAGAAGGCAGGCTGGGGACCGGGCGCCGGGGCCCAGCAGGAGGGTGCGTGGCCAGGGGCGTGACCAAATCGGAGACCTCCGCCCAGACTAGGTGGTCGGGCCAGAGACCGCGGTTTGGCCCGGGACGCTTCCGGGCGTGACCAGAGGACGGGCGGTTGTCCCAGAGGCGTGGCCGGGGAAGCCAGGACGTCAGCCTCCGGGGCGTGACCGGGCCGGACTCGGTGGAGGGGGGGTGGGGGTCCTCGTGGCCTCCAGACCCTCCAGACCGCAGCCACAGGGGGTCGGGAGACGGAGCAGGTCGGGGCCAGCCCTCCCCAGCCCCGCGCCCGGGCCGCGTCGACTTACCGCGGCCGGGCAGCGGCCCGCGCCCGTCCTCCGCGTGCGCCTGGGGCCGCCGGGCGCGCGGCGTCACCTGGCTGTAGAGGGGCGTCTCCTCCGCGCCGCGCGCCCGCGCGCCCGCCCCTGTCCCGGTGCCCGCGGGGGCCGCGCGCTTCTGCACCACAGCGTACGTGTCGGCCATGGCGAGGCCCGGGGGCCCGGGTACCGAGATGCTCCTGCGGGTGGGGAGGAAGTGAAGCGGCGGCGCCGAGGCTGGGGAGGGAGGGGGCAGCGCGCTCGGCGCGCAAACCACCGGCTTCCTTCCCGCCCGAGGCGGCGCGCAGTTACGGAGCGAGGAGGTGGAGGTGGCAGCGTCTCTGGGGAAAGGGGTCTCGTCTCTGTGTCCCTAGCGCCCAGCAGGTTGGGTGGATGAAGGAAGGAAGGGGCCAGCCTGGCAGGTGAATGGGGCAAGATATTGGTATTGAGGATTGGTCATTTCTGTGTAGTTGTCTGTTGAATAAATGAATGAGGAAGTGACATCTAAAGAGAAGCAAGGGAGAGTCTCAAAATGGAGGGCTGGTCTCAGGGACCAAGGGCTGAAGTCTCTGCTGCACCCGACATGAGGCCTTACAGTTGGGTGGCCTCAAAAAATATCTGCTGAATTAACGAGTGGAAAAGCGAGGAGAGAACTAACATCGGGAGCTAGCCTGAGAGGCAGAGGCAATGGATCTCTGGGATTAAAGAATCATCTTGTGGAGGGTTCCCAGAGGTCAGCTGCAAGAAAGGGCCAGTGAATATTTGGTGAACTGAACGGCAAGGAAGGGGCTGGTGTTTCAAGGGTGAGGAAAGGGCCAGCCTCCAAGGACGAGAAAGTGAAAATGGAAGACTGAGGGGAGGGGGCTGGGTACCTGAGAACCCTGCCGGATGGGCGGGCTGTGGCAGGAAGGGTGTGGGAAGTCCGGAGGGAGAAGGCATCATCGTAGAGTGGGGCACAATTCTGGGGAAAGGCAGGAGGGAAAGGCATGAGGCTTCGGAGGACGCTATCCAGGCTCCTAGTGGTGCAAGGTCACTGTGGGCTCTGTGGGGGAAGCTTAAGAGGGGACAGTGATAAGGGAGCAAGGAGGAGGACAAAGGTAGATATCATAGTGCGTCAGTCCCTGCTCCCGGAGGGAGTCCAAGGGCTGGATGCTGGCGCTGGTGGTGGCCATAGACCTCTGCTCTGGGTCCTGGTCTCTGAGGATTGGAAGGGGACCTTGGTACCTCCTTGAGGTTCTGGTAGTGAGGGCTGGCATTTTGGAGCGCTGAGAAGAACATCTGAGCCACTGTGTGGTACAGGAACCTGTACTGCTCCTGAAGGGGTGGGGGAGGGAAGAGGGGTCATCGAGAAGGAAAGACCAGAACAGGAGGGATATGTCCTTGGAACGAGGAGACCCGGCTCCCACCTCTGTCTGTATGGCTGCAGGCCGCTGCCTCCGAATCTCGAGGACCACATTGAAGAGGCTGAAGTTAGGTGGGATCATCTAGGGCAGAGAGATGGGCACTTGAGCAGGACCTCATAGGCACAGGACCCACACTGCGCTGTATGCCCTCTTCATACCTGGGTCAGAAGCAGCTGTCTCACATAATCCAGGGTGCACAGGACACCTGTTCGCCCACAGCCCGCGCTGACAAGTGAGAATCAGAGTGAGCTTGGTCAGGGCCTGCCTGCAACCCCTTTTAAAGGGGGCATTTGGGGCTGGGGGTGAGGGCCTTAATGGAGTGTCCCCTGCAGCACTTTTTGATTCCCAGAATCCCAGATTATAATTTGAAAGGAAAACCTTTCTAATTGCTTATATTTGTTGAGCATCAACTGTGTACTTACTCCCTAGCAGTCTGTGCTCAATAAATACTAACCATTTCAGCTGCAACTTGAGCAAGTGTGGCCTCAGGTTTCTTGAAACAGGCACTCAGACTGTAAGACTGGCTCCAAGCCCTGCACTATCCTCCCTGTCCCCTCTCCACCACCATCCCCTCTGTCTCACCAGACCCCCATAAAGCCCATTTTCCTAAACCTGCAGTGGACACAGAGGGGGCTGGGGCCAGATCCCTGGAGGCGCCGGGCTTCCTCCACCATGGCGAGCACGTGGTCGGGATTGCTAGGGACCCCTCTGTCTGGCCAGGACATATACTGCAGCTGGTACACAGAGCGGGATTCCTGAAACATAGGAAATGAGGGGCAAAGAATAAAAAAAGAAAGAAATGCATTTATTGAGCCCCTGTTACATGTCAGCCCTAGTTCTCTACATCCTCCGTTTAAATGCAACAGATAATAACTGAAGAGATGGGTACTATTGTTAATGCACATTTTACAGATGAGAAAACAGAGACAGGAAACAGCTCTCCCTATGTAGGAGTCTCCTCCTCCCCTTTCAGTACCTTCTGGAAGGTGACCTGAAGAGTCCTGAGCGTAATGTCTGCATTCAGCCATGTCTCCCTTGTCTGTGGATATGGGGCATGTGAGAAGAGGGCAGAGAACAAAGATCACAGGTGCCAAAAGACATATTTACAAAAAACAAAGCATTTCTGATTAAAAATCAAATACAGGGAGTTCCCTGGTGCCCTAGTGGTTAGAATTCTGGGCTTTCACTGCCATGGCCTGGGTTCAATCCCTGGTCAGGGAACTGAGATCCTGCAAGCCATGCAGCATGGCCCCCCCAAAAAAACAAAAGAAAAATCAAATACAAACAACATATTTTTAAAAATTAATTTAGCCCGAATATCTCCCATGGCTTTTGTGAAGGAAACATTTCACAAAGGGGAGAAAGAGGAACTATGATTAAATATCCAACAAGCTCATTTACAGTGAAACAAAGAAACGTCTTTTGTTCTAAAACAAGTTTCATTGTATTTATTCAATACCAATTGTATTTATGACTTATGAGAGATTTTCCTGAGTTCTTTTGAAAGGGTAAGGGAAATAAGAATTTTAAGAACCTAACCAGGCACATGAACATTTACAGAGATAACCATGATAGTAGTTAAAATGCAAAAACAGTATATAATGAGTTCTGACTATTTGCAATGCTAATACCAGAGCGCTCCCTGCAGTGTGAGTGGGACTGTGGGAAAACTGTTCAGGCCCAGCCCAAAAGCTTTCCACTCAGAATCATCTGTGAAATCTTCCACAACATCCGAGACTTCATAAAGTGCTGTTCCCACCTCTGCCCCAGCTCACCAGAGTGATGCAGAAAAGCCCAATCTGCAGTGGCTCCTGTTCTTGGGCCCAATAACGCTCACACTTTTTCTGCAAAAGGCAAGGGGAAAAGGGCAGAGAGTGAAGAGGGGGAGTCTGCCTCAAAGTTCAGATCAACACGTGCACACCCCGCATGGGACAGCTCAGGTTGCTGGTGGAAGCACAGACAACTGAAACTTCAAAGGAGGCCAGGCAGCAGAACCTTATCAGAGTAAACACAGACAGACTCAATGGAGATGTGAGCTTCTGACTGTGCAGGAGGAAGACAGTCCAGAATATTCTACTTCTGTAAGCAACTGAAAACCTGGACAAAATATATGAGCCACTATTTTCAGACACTGGTCCACAGTCTTGCAGGACTGTGATCACTGAACAACGGGAAACACATGAGTCAAACCTTATGACCTCCCCAGCTTACTGCCAAGAGGCAGTAACCAGGCTGCAGAACCTGGAGAGTTTGATGAGCCCACTGAGTTGAGGAACCAGAGATCTTGGCTCGGGGAGGCCAAGGCAGAGGTCTTGAGAGAACAGCACTATGCAAACAAAAGCAAAGAACTCCAGAAGTCTGCATAGGGGTCCCCTTAAGTCTTTAGCTGAATAATGATCTGGGCACATATGACACGAAACCCCATGAAGCTAGGAAGGAATAACTTCCCTTGAAGGAATAATAGCTAGGGAACTATAAGATGAACATTTCCTAGGGCTCACAGTGGGACAGAAATAATTTACATTTCCTCCAGCCACAGTGGAGAGACCTGAGTGATTAAAAGGGGCATTCAGTAGGGAACCTGAAGGATCAAACATTGAAAGTAAAAGAACTTAGTTCTAGAATAAAGGCTTCTCTAGACTCGCCCTACAAAAGCTTAGAAACAAACCTTAAAATGATCAAATATCTAAAATATCTAAAATATCTAAAACTGCCTTCCACAAAAAGTCTAACACTTTTTAAAGGAAGGTAAAAAATCCAAAATTTACTTTTGTAAAATTTAAAATATTGAGCATCCAATAAAAATTTACTAGACATACAAAGAAGCAAGAAAATATAACCTATACCCAGGAGAAAAAGCAGCAGAAAAAGACCCAATAGAGATGAGGAAACAAGCAGACAAAGACTTTGAAACAGCCTTTATAAATATTATAAATATGTTCAAAAATGAAAAGGGAACCACAAAAGGGATGGAAGTGAAATAAAAGATATAAAAAAGACCTAAATGGAACTTCTAGAGAGGAAAAATAAAATATATGAAATAAAAAATTCACTAAGACCCATGAAAAGATGTTCAACATCAGTAATTACTAGAGAAATGCAAATCAAAACTACAATGAGGTACCGCCTCACACTGGTCAGAATGGCCATCATGAAAATGTCTACAAATAACAAATGCTGGAGAGGGTGTGGAGAAAAGAGAACCTCCCACATTGCTGGTGGGAATGTAAATTGATGCAGCCACTATGGAAAACAGTATGGAGGTTCCTCAAAAAACTAAAAATAGAGTTACCATATGATCCAGCAATCTCACTCCTGGGCATACATCCGGACAAAGCTATAATTTGAAGAGATACATGCACCCCTGTGTTCATAGCAGCACTACTCAAAATAGCTAAGACATGGAAACAACCTAAATGTCTATCGACAGATGAATGGGTAAAGAAGATGAGGTATATATATACAATATACTCAGCCATAAAAAAGAATGAAATAATGCCATTTGCAGCAACATGGATGGACCTAGAGATTATCATACTAAGGGAAGTAAGTCAGAAAGAGAAAGACAAATACCATAGGATATCACTAAATATCTAACATATGACACAAATAAATTTATCTACAAAACAGAAACAGACTCACAGAGATACAGAACAGACTTGTAGTTGCTGTGGGCAAGGGGGTGGGGAGGGATGGACTGGAAGTTTGGGATTAGCAAATGCAAACTATTATATATAGAATGGATAAACAACGAGGTCCTACTGTATAGCACAGGGAACTGTATTCAATATCCTGTGATAAACCATAATGGAAAAGAATATGAAAAAAAATTCACTCTCTAATAGCAGATTAGACACCAGAAGATCAGTGAACACAAAGGCATAGCAATAGAAACTATTCAAAATGAAAAAGAGAGAGAAAAACTGGGGAAAAAAACTAAGAGAGAGAATCAGATACCTGTGGAAATATATATCAAGTGGCCTAATGTATGTGTACCTGGAGTCCAGAAGGAGAGGAGAGGGGAGAATAGAAGCTATTTTTGAATAAACAATAGCTGGAAAATTTTCCAAATTTGATGAAACTATGAACCCACAGATCCAAGAAGGTCAATGAACCAGAGGGAGAATAATCATAAAGAAAGCCACACCAAGGTAGCTCATGATCAAATTGCTGAAAAACAATGATAAAGAAAAAAATCTTAAAAGCATCACACATAAAAAAGACACATTACATACTGAGGAATAAGGATGACAGCAGAATTTTGTTAGAAACTCTGCAAGCCAGAGATCAATGCTGTGACACCCTAAAAATGCTGAAATTAAAAAAACTTTCAGACAAAAGCTGAGAGACTTTGTCACAAGCAAAACTGCACTATGAGAAATATTATAATAAGCTTTTCATACAAAAGGAACCAGGTGGAATACAGACCCACACAAAGGGATGAAAAGTAAAGAAAAAGGTAAATATGTAGCTAAATGTAAAAGGTATTTCTCATTTTTAACATCTTTAAAAGATAATCTAGTGAATTTTACCAAAAAAGGAGGAATTAATAGCAATCCTTCACAAACTTTTCCAAAAAATTGAAGGAACATTTGCCAACATATTTTATGAGACCAGTATTACTCTGCTACCAAAACCAGACAGATATCACAAGAAAAGAAAACTACTAAGCAGCGTCTCAAGAATATAGACAGAAGAATCCTCAACACAATATTAACAAAGGATTTTACACAGGATCAGGTGGGATTAATCCCAGGAACACATATATGAAAATCAATACATGAAGGTCAATCAATATCATATACCATAATAATAGAAAATGAAACAAAAACACATGATCAACTTAATAGATGCAGAAAAAAAATCTGAACAAAATCCAATACATTTTCATATAAAAATATGAAAGGAACTAGACATAGAAAGGAAATTCCCCATCTTGATTTACAAAGCAAAACCAACAACAACAAAAAATATCTACCAAAACCTACAACTAACCTAATACTTAATGGTGAAAGACTGAATGTTTTGTGCTTAAGATCAGGAACAAGACAAGAATGTTTGCACTTTTTTGTACTGGAAGTTGTAGACAGTGCAATTAGGAAAAAAGAAATGAAGGAAGGAAAGGAGGGAAGGTAGGAGGGAGGAAGCAAGAGAGAGAAAAAAGAAAAGGAAAGGAAAGGAAAGAAAAGAAAAAAAAAGATAGGGAGAGAAGGAAGAAGAAAGAAAGGAAGGGAGGTTACCCAGATTGGAAAGGAAGAAGCAAAAGTATGTCAACTTGCAGATAGCATGATATTATATATAGAAAACCCTAAAGAATGCGCGCACACACACACACACACACACACTATTAGAACTAATAAGCGAGTTCGGCAAGGTTGCAGGATACAAAGTCAATATAGAAAAATCAACTGTATTTTCATATTTAAAAAACTATTATTTGCAATACCTCCCACCCACCCCCAGAATTGATAGATTCAATGAAATCCTTATCAGAATCCTAGAAGGCTTTTTGAAGATATGGGCAAGCTGATCTTAACATTAATATATAAACAATATGTTAACATTAATAAATGTGTTATGGATTCCCAAGACTGCCCTCAGGTTTGATGACTCAATAGGAGGGCTCACAGGACTCAGCATAGAGTTGTACTTGTGGCTACAATTTATCGCAATGAAAGGTTACAGGATAAAACAGCAAAGGGAGAAGGCGCACAGGGTGAAGTCTGCAGGAAACAGGGTGCCAGCTTCCAAGGTTCTTCTCCCAGTGGAGTCACATAGAATGTGCTTAATTCCTCCAGAATGAGTTGTGACCACACATGTGAAATGTCCACAGGGACATTTAGGAATTCAGTGCCCAGGGTTTTTACTGGGGGACTCTATGTGGTAGGTAGGCACCTCTGACTAGCATGTGACAAAACTTCAGACTCCCAGAGGGAAAGCAGATGTTCACATAAACCTACTGTCACATAGACATGTTGTTTGTATAAACAGTTTAGGCATGGTGAGCCACTCTTATTAGAAATCCAATTTCCAGTCAAGAGCCAACCTTGCAGGAAGTTCTTTTTAAGCATAATCATTTATGCCTGATATGTTAACTCTTTTCTGCATGGCAAGTGACCCAGAATAGCCAAAACAATCTTGCAAAAAGAAGAACAAATTTGGAGGACTCACACTTCCTGATTTCAAAACTTACCACAAACCTACAATACCGAGTAGTACTGGCACAAAGATAGACATGTCGATCAATGGAATAGAATTGAGAGTCCAGAAATAAACCTTTACGTGTACACTCAATTGATTTTCAACAAAGTACCAAGACCATTCAATGGGGAAAGCACAGTCTTTTTAACAAATGGTGCTAGGACAACTGGGTATCTATAAACAAAAGAATGAATTTGGACCGCTGTCTTACACCATATACAAAAATTAACTCAAAATGAATCGGAGACCTAAACATAAGAGAGAAAACTATAAAACACTTAGAAGAAAACATAGGAGTAAATCTTTTTGACCTTTCGTTAGACAATGACTTGTTAGATACAACATCAAAAGCACATCAAAACAATAGATTGGAAGTCTTCAAAATTAAAAATTGTTTGTGCTTCAAAGGACACTATAAAGAAAATGAAAAGACACACCCACACAATGGAAAAAAATATTTCTAAATCATATACTGATAAGGGACTTGTATTCAGAAGAATTCTTACAACCCAATAATAAAAAGACAAATAACCCAATTAAAAAATGGGCAAAGGACCGAAACAAATTTTCTCCAAAGAAGACATACAAATGGAAAAATAAGCACATGAAAAGATGTTTGGTAAATGTAAACCACAAATCCACCTCATTAGGCAAATGCAAACCAAAACTGCAATGAGATACCACTTCCCATCCATTAGGATGGCTAATAAAAACAAAAGTGAAAACAGAAAATAACATGTCTTGGTGAGTGTTTGGAAAAATGGAACACTTGTGCATTGCTGGTGAGAATATAAGGTGGTCCAGCCACTGTGGAAAGCAACAACAACAAAATTAAACACAGAATTGCCATATGATCCAGTAATTAATTCTACTACCCAAAAGAATTGAAAACAAGGACTCAAAACAGATACTTATGTACTAATGTTCATAGCAGCACTATCACAGTAACCAAAAGGTAGAAACAACCCAAATGTCCATCAATAGGTGAATGGATAAACAAAATGTGGTACATACATACAATGAAATGTTATTCAGCCTTAAAAAGAATGAAATTCTGATACACTCTACAACATGGATGAACCTTGAAAACCTGATAAATGAAATAAGTCAGACACAAAAGAACAAGTATTGTATGACTCCACTGATATGAGGTACCTAGAAGAGGCAAATTAATAGAGACAGAAAGTAGAATAAAGGCTACCAACAGCTGCAGGAAGGGGAAATGGGAAGAAACTGTTAAATGGATACAGAGTTTCTGTTTGGGATGATGAACAAGTTCTGGAATTGGACAGTGGTAACGGTTTGCAACACTGTGAGTGTACTTAATGTTCCCAAATTGTACACTTGAGATCATTAAAATGGCAAAATTTATGTTATGTATATTTTACCACAACTGAAAAAAAAAAAAGACCCAATGAGTACAACTTCACATCAAACAGGATAGCAAAAATGAAAAAGACAGACAATAACAAGTGTTGGTAAGAATGTGGAGAAATTGGAACCTTCATACATTGCTGGTTGAAATGTAAAATGATATAGCCACTGTGGAAAACAGTTTGGTAGTTCCTCAAAATGTTAAAAATAGAGTTTACCATATGACCCAGCAATTCCACTTCTAGGTATATATCCAAGAGAAATGAAAGCATACTTCTACACAAAAACTTTCACATGAATGTTTATAGCAGCAATATTCATAATCACCAAAAAGTGGAAACAGCTCAAATTCTATGAAGTGATTAATGGATATATAAAATGTGGTAGATCCATTCAATGGAATGTTATTCAGCAATAAGAATGGGTGAAGTATTGATACATGCTACAATATATATTAGCCTTAAAACACAACCTTAGTGAAAGAAGCCAGTCATGAAAGACAACATATCATATGATTCCAGTTATAGGAAAAGTCCAGAGTGGGCAAATCTACAGAGACTAAAAATAGATTAGTAGTTGCCTAGGGTGGAGTTTGGTAGGAAATGCAGCATGACTGCTAATAGATACAAGGCTTCTTTATGGGGTAATGAAAAGGTTCTGAAATTCATTGTGGTGATGACTGTATAACTCAGGAATATATTAACAACAATTGAATTGCACACTTTAGATGGATGAATTGTATCTCAATAAAGTTGTTTTTTTTAAAGATAATCTGTAGGAAAAATAATAGCAGTGTGTTGTGTAGTATATTTTAAATTTGGAATCAAACCTAGGGCAACAATAGCTTGAAGCATGGAAAGAGAAAATTGAAATATGCTATTGTAAAGTTCTCACATTTTACATGAAATGATATAATATTATTTGAATATAGACTGTGATAAGTACACATTCCACTAAGAACACAAGCACATAATACAAAGAGGTATAACTAATAAGTGAATAATGACTGTGAGACAGAGTCATAAAAATTCGCAGTAAAAAAGAAGACAGAAAATAAGAAAGGAACAAAGAACCGATGGAACAAATAGAAAACAAATAGCAAAATCATAGATTTAGACACATTATTGGCACATTAAAGACTAAATACTCCAATTAAAGGCAGAGGTTGTCAGACTGGATAAAAAAGTAAGTACCCACAATATGCCAGCTATAACAAACACAGTTTAAAAATAAAAATGGGGAATTCCCTGGAAGTCCAGTGGTTAGGACTCTGCACTTCCATTGCAGGGGGCATGGGTTCAATCCCTGCTCAGGGAACTAAGAGGCTGCAAGCCCCGTGGTGCAGCCAAAAAAATAAATAAAATAAATAAAAATGAACACAGATAAAAAGTAAAAGAATTAAAATAGAGATATCATGCACACTCTAATCTAAAGAAGTTTAAATGGCTATATTAATATCAAAGTACACTTTAGAGAAAGGGATATTACCCTTTTCCTTTTAGAGATAAAAGGGACATTACATATTGAAAACAGGATTGATTCATCAGGATGACATAATCCTAACTGTATAAGCACTCAATTATAGAGTTGTAAAATATCTGAAGCAAAAACTGACAGAACTGAAAGGAGAAGTAGATAAATCTAAAATCAGAGTTAGAGATTTCAACACTCCTCTTTCAGCAAATAATAGGACAAGTAGATGAAAAAAAGTAAGAATAGGGACTTCCCTGGTAGTCCAGTGGTTAAGACTCTGCCCTTCCACTGCAGGGGGCACCCTTCCAGTGCAGTGGGCACAGGTTCGGTCCCTGGTCAGGGGAACTATGATCCCACATGCCACATGGCCAAAAAGAAAAAAAAAAAAGGTAAGAATAATAAGATTTGAATAATACTATTGAGAAACTTGTCCTAATTCACAGTTATAGAACAGCTGGAAGTTTCAACACTCCTCTCTTGGCAATTGATGGAACATTTAGAGAAAAGAAATCAGTAAGGATATAGAAGATACAGTAAAGATATAGAAGATATTAAAGTGTCTTTCAAAAAGACACAATCAATTTGACCTAACTGATATTTATAGAACACTCCACTCAACAAAGCAGAATACACATTCTTTTCAAGTGCACACAAAACATGTACCAAGATAGATCACATTCATGGCCACAAAACAAGTTTCAGTACATTTGAATCATATAAAGTTGTTCTTTGACCACAATGGAACTGAAAATTAATAACAGGAAGATATATGGAAAAGCCCCCAAATATTTGGAATTTAAGCACAGCCATGGTCAAATACCATTGGTCAAAGAAGAAATCACAAGAGAAAGTAGAAAATATTTTGAGCTAACTGAAAAAAAAGACACTACATACCAGTTTGTGAGATGTAGCTAGAGCACTGCATAGAAAAAAATGAATGATATTAAATACTTATATGTGGGGACTTCCCTGGTGGTCCAGTGGTTAAGAATCCATTTTGCAATGCAGGGGATGCCGGTTTGATCCCTGGTCGGGGAACTAAAATCCCACATACCACAGGGCAACTAAGCCCACATGCCGCAACTAGAGAGCCCATGTACTGCAACTAGAGAGCCCATGTGCCACAACTACAGCCCACGCACTTTGGAGCCCGTGTGCCACAGCTACAGAGCCCACATGCTCCAGAGCCCGCATGCCGCAACTACTGAGCCCGCGCACCACAACTAGAGAGAAGCTTGCGCACCGCAACTAAGAGCCCACGCACCGCAACAAAAAGATCCCCAATGCCGCAACTAAGACCCCATGCAGCCAAAAAGTAAATAAATATTTTTTAAAATACTTATATGTGAAAAAAAATCACAAATCTATTATCTAAGCTTAAGGAACTAGAAAAAAAAAGAGCAAGTTAAACCTAAACCAGAAGGAAGGAAATGATAAAGGGAAGAAATTAATGAAATAAACATGAAAAAATAGAGAAAATGAATAAAACTCAAAGCTGCTTCTTTGAAAAAATAATAAAATTGATAAGCCTCTAGCCCAGAGATTGGCTAACTTTCTATAAATGGCCAGATAATAATAGTTTAGACTTTGTGAGCCATACAATGTACTTAACTTGCAACTACTGAACTTGGCCATTGTAGCATGAAAGCAGGTATACACACTATGTAAACAAATGAGTGTGGCTATGTTCTTATACATTTTTATTTACAAAAACAGGCAGCAGGACAGATTTAGTACAACAACTAAAGTTTGCTTGTCTTTATTCTTGCCAGACCAATGTAGGAGAGAGAGACAGACAGACGACCAACCCTCAAAATTAGGAATGAAGAAGGTACATCACTACAGATTGTACAGACTCCATGATCAGCCAGCCATCCCGGGGCAGTACTTACGCCACCCCCAGCCCTGTCCATGGAGCACGCCAGGATGCAGAAACCATGTGCCTTCAATGTTGACATACATTCTTTGAGTAACTAATTTATGCTAATGGGCAAAACAAAGATCCCTGCCCTCATGGAACTTTTCTTCTTATCAGGAAGACAGAATAAACAATATACATAACACATTTGTAGATTATCTTGTATGTTAGAAGTTGGTAAGAACTGTGAAGAAAAAAATGAAAGTAGGACAAGGGAAGGAGAGTGAGAGTGCTTGGAGTTCCAAATGGGTGAGATCCAGGAAGATCTCATTGAGGAAGTAGCATTTGAGCCAAGACCTGAAGGTGGTGATGGAGCAGGCCAAGGGGAAAATGTCCCAGGCAGTGGGAACAAAGCATAGGACCCGAGGCAGAACAAAGGCCAGGGTGGTTGGAGTGGAGTGAATAAAGGGGAGAAAGGTGGAAAGAGAGATCAGAGCTGTACTGGGGAAGCCACAGTTATAGGGCCTTATGGTCTATGGTATGGAATGGGGCGGGAAGATCAGCAGGAGAGGGGTTGAGCCCCATGAATAAAAGGTAAAAGATCAACAAAAAAATTAAAGATAGTAATAGTGGGCTTAGCAGAGGTACAGTGAGGGTCACACCAAGAACTGGGCCATTGAGTCATGGCATCAGGGAAGAGGAGCTAGCAAGATTTCTCCTGTCTCCTCTCTGCACAAGGATATGCATTCTAGGGGCTGAGGACACCTACCTGCCCATTTTCAATCTCCTGACAGGCCATCAGGATCACCTAGACAAGAGGGGTAAGGGGAAAGGGAGGAGATTTGGTTTAGGGGGTGTGGTTATCAGGGCCAAGGGAGGACCCAGAATGTTGGACATACCTCACACCCCCCCAAAGCTGACCTTGACCCCAAACTCCCAGATCAGGCGCCAGAAGTCTAGCAAGGTGTGAGGCAGGGGTCCTTGCGTGGCGATGTAGGCCTGGCTTCCATCTGTGCCCTGGTAAAGGCTAAGTTCACTATGGAGATCCCGCTGTCCCCTCCACCACCTCTGCCCCTTCCCTAACGCCCAGCCTGACCCTGATGAAGTTGCCATTGATGTAGTCTCCATGTCCCTCTTCCTGGAGCAGGGAAAGGATCACTCGTGTCTTATCGTCTGCCAGCGGGAGAGGTGAGAAACGTGGAGTTTGTGGGTGACAGGGGCCTTGGCGGCCTCCCAGATGAAAGCCAGCAGGGGACAGCATACCTAGCAGGGATCCCATCGAGGTGCACTCGCAGACTGCTGGAGAGAAATGCAGCCACAGCAAGGCCCTGGGAGGGAGAGTTCTGGGGGCCCAGTGGTGGCACGGGGATCCGGGCTAACACCTGCACTGCCTCGGGGTGCGGGCATGCAAAGCAGCACCGACTCCCTCCAGAAGGTCCCCACTCCCACCCCCAACTTACACGGCAGCACATCTTTGTAGCGGTTCTTCCTCACATTTTCTGGTCGACTGCCAGCCTCAGTGGAACACACGCTGTCTGTCTTCCAGGAGGCTGAGCGGGCCCGGATGTCCTGGTGGGAGGACAGAAAGAAGACCCGGGAGAGGGAGGAGAGAGCAAGAGAGGAGACAGGTTAGGGTCCTGGGACACTGAGACTCTCACAGGGATACACAGCACGTGGCCTGTGAGAGGTGAGTGCAGTGCCCAGACAGCACAGGGCCTGCTAATTATGATTCCATAATAGTAGCGACTCAGAGTGCCTTCTCTGTGCCAGGCTCTGTGTGAGGGCATTGAACCACCTGCAAGGTCCCTCCAAAGTGGGTACTATTATTGACGTCCCCATCATGCCGGTGAGAAAGCTGAGGCACCACATGTTTGAGTGACTTGCTGAAAGTCCCACCCAGGAAGTGGCACAGTGAGTGAGTGAGTATTGAACTCAGACCTCTGAGCATCTACCCCCTGTACACTCAATGTGTATTTACATTGTATTGTGAACAATAATTGTAATATATTATGCATTTAAAATAACAAACATGGTGATACACAATATATAAGACAATATACAATGCATATGAATTATAATGAATAACACTACTTATGTAACTAGATACTATAGGTGCTTTACTACTGTTCCATTATTATAATTAGTGAATAGCATTACCATCATCAAGTATTCATAATCATGATGATAATAAGTAACACCTACCAAGCCCCCTGATGAGTGCAAGCCACTATTCTAAGTGTTCTATGCCCATCAAGTCATTTACATCCTCGTGGACACACTAGTGTAGTTCGTACCACTATTAATATTTTTACTATATAGATGAGGAAACCAAGGCCTAGAGAGACCCAAAGACTCCTGTGAGTACAGGAGGCTGCCTGCAGGAGGGTGGCCTCCAGCAGCTGGCACTTCTTACTGTCCCAGACTGGACCCAGACCCGGATGGACATGATGTCATGTACTACCTGGATATTATGTTTACATTTATTATGTACATTTTCATATAGAATAAATTATATATTTTGCATTTATTATGCATTTCTTATATATGATATTTATTTTTATATTTGTGTAAATTTAGATTTATCTTAAACTTCTTTTATCTATTTATTACATATTTTATTACTTAGGAACTTCAATAACTGCTTATTTGATAAATTATAATTCTATGTTGTATTTATGTGTATTCTACTGTTTTAAGAAGTTAACTAATGTTATTGTGTATATTATAGTTTACAATCATATTTATACATATTCACTATATATTTTCTATTTATTAATAAAATTATTTCATAAATGTTTGTTATCTATTTTTATTATACTCAACGATATATAGTCATTTATTAGATACATACATATATTTACCAAACTTATTTCTAAATTTGAGATGTCACCATATATTGTATTTGCATAGCACGTTTCCATGTTATTATATTTAAAATACCTCAGTACATGTAGATGCGATGCCTACGACGCTGCTGCGTTAGCATTCTTTACATACAGCTTGCACTACCCCATTGTAAAGTTTAGAATATTTATAACTAGTGACAAAGGCGCCTACAAAGTGAGAGCTCAAGATGTGCTAAGCACTTTTTACCCACACCGGTTGTTTTAATCCTCAGGCCAGTTGAGTCATCAATGTCCGCATTTCACCCAAGGAGAAACTGAGGCCAGAGGGACCGGATAAAGCGCCACAGGCCACAGCGCCTATTAGAGCCGGCGTCCACACACTCGCCGCAGCGGGGCCTCTTGGTTCCTCTTTCCCCAGCCCCTTCCTCCCCAGGACCACAGGAGTGACTGCCTGGTCGCCTGGAGCGGCCGGGCGTCGCGTGTCCAGCGCAGGTGAGCGCCTGCCCTGCTCAGCAACCGGACGATTCTGGGAGCGCGGCAAGGGCGCAGGGACCCGAGGGCGTGTGCGGCCCCGCCCGACCCGGCCGTGGACATAGCCCTCTGGGACCTACTGGCAGAGGGTGAAGACAGACAGGGAGAGAGGGCGACAGAGAGAGGTGCTGGGGAGAGAAAAACAGAGAGATCTCTAGGCGAGGAGATGCCCCTGGAGGTCGAGAGAGAGACAGAGAGACAGAGAGAGACAGAGAGAGAGACAGAGAGAGAGAGGCAAAGCGCAGCAGGGCGCACAGGAGAACAGACGTCTGGACCATCCTGGGCAAGGAGCCGAAGCGCGGCGCGCTGCCGGCCAACTCGGCCACTCACGCTGAACTCGTAGGCGAGGACCGCCCCCTCCCGGACTCCCCGTGCCTCCAGTTGCTTCAAGAAGCTCCTCGCCGCGTCCAAGCTGCAGCTCATGGCGCTGCCGGCTAGCGATGCCCAGTCCACCTGTGGCACTCCGCGCTCCCACCTAGTGTAGACTCCGTGGGAGGCTGCCGAGGCCCCGCCTCAGATCTCGCCAGCCAATGGAAGTGCGCAGCGGCGGACAGGGCGCTCCCCTCGGCCAATGACACTCAGAGCCCGCCCCAGCCTCGCCTACAGGCTCCCGGACCGGGGCGGCTGCCTGAGCGCTTGGTTCACCCGGGGTGGGCCAGGGACGTGGATCTTGCTCTGGCTCTTCCCTTTTTTATGGCCTCCGCGTGAGCTGGCTGAGTCCGCACGGTCCCATGGCCACTTCCTCTCTCTTGGACCCGGGGTCCGCGCCCGGGCAGGGCGGATGGCTGCATGCCCTCGCCCGGCCTCCCCGGCTCTGTCTTCTGGGAGCTAGGCTGTGTCCGGATCCGAGCCGGGGTGGCGTGGCAGCTGTGAGTAAAGACGGTCGCCGAGACCGAGCTGCAACTCCTGCCTGGGGGACCCCGGGTGGGGACCATCCCGCGCTTTGCGCTTCGGCGGGGTCCGAGGGAGGTCGGGGGAGGTAGCCGCGGGGGAAAATGACACCCGGGCACCTGGGCTGTGAGAAAGACTGAATCCGTGTATTTCCTGAGGCTCCTTCTTTTTCTGGGTCGGGCTAGGATGAACTGGGGGCGCCAGCATCCAGTCCTAATTTGAGGATTTCAACCCGCATAAACCTTCTGGGAAACTGAGAATCGAGGCTCTGGGAGTGGGTTCCAAGGGACTAGGTGTTCTCAGTGCTTTTAAGGGGCTTATTTTCTTTCGTCCCTTGTCTTCAGAAAATGTGGAGAAGACTGGAGGACAGCTGCTGTCCCAGCTCCCAGGGCTACCAAGGGGAGGCTGGAGAGAGCAGAGAGAAGCCTACGGTCCCTGCCAAGGATTGGCCAGTGTAGATGGGCTAGCCCATCCTTCACCTCGGGGGTGAGGAATGTGGACCTAATTCATCAGAGTTAAGTCAAGAACAGGCAAACTGTTTCTTAAAGGGCTTGGGTCTCTGGTCCTTGTCCCAGCTACTCAGTTCCGCTATGCAGGGTGAAAGCAACCATAGGCAACATGTAAAGGAATGAGCATGGCTTTGTCCCAAACTTCGTGGACTTTAAATTTTAATTTCATGTGTCACGATTTGTGTGTGTGTTTCCTGCAGGCTGTGGGTTGCTGACCCCAGTTTAAGTGACTGAGAGGTCAAAAAGCCAGTTAGTGGGGATGTTTCACTTATTGAGGGGTCAGTAGGAGTCACTGTTGACTCAGTGTTTATCACTGTCATCTTTGAGAGTTCAAAGGTGGTCAGCAGTGATCACTGAGGATGGACATTGATAGTGAATTCATTGGAGGCCAGTGAGAGTTCCTTGGATGTTCATGGAGACTGTCAGTAGACGTCAATGGCAGTCACTGGGAGGTCAGTGAGAGACTGAAAGTAACTGAGGAGCCATTGGGACTTGGAGTGTTAGTTTACTAAATAACTGAGGGGTCAAAAGAGTCAGGGAAGGTCATTGAGGACCCCTAACCAGGGCTCAATAGTGAATGTCAGTGGAATCACTGAGATTTCTTGGATGGTCATGGGTTCTTGGAGACTCAGGGTGGCAGGATACAGAAGTATCAGTGAACTTTGAGAAAATATGGAGGCCCACTGGAGGAGTCACAGAGACTCAAGTCCCTGAGTAATCATGGATACTAATGGCAGTCATTTGGGTATAGTGGATACCAGAGTAAAGGGGGAACAGCCACTGTGGGATCAAGAAAGGGCTTTATGGACCCTGCTGGTAGTGAATGTCATTGGATGTCAATGATCACTGGAAACCAGTGCTACCTGGGGAGCAGAGGCAACATTGAGGGTCAGTGAGCCATCCATATCACCTATGGTGATGACTGGGAGGCAGGGCAACTAACCCAGCAACTGGGTTCTGGCACTCTGGGATCTTCTGTTCCACTAGGGGCTGAGGGTCTATTTGTCTGACAGGGTGGGGTGTATATGTCTATCTGTCCCCCTGGCTTAGGAGATATCTGTCTATCCTGAGGACCCACCTGCCTTTCTCATAGGCTGGGACCTACTGGCAAAGAGTAAGTCTGTCAAGCTGAAGGTCTGGCTGGCTAGTTGACTGGGTAGTGGAATGTCTCTCCATTGAGTTAATGGTCTCTCTGTACAATTGTGGGGCTCTGTCTACCCTTGAGGAATTCTGTCTTTTGGTTGGCTGGAAGTGGGGAGGGAGGGGTGTCCATGTGTCTGGACACAGGTCTTTCTGGATGCCTGGCTGAGCACCTTCCCACCTGTCCAATAATCTGTCCATTTGTCTGGCTGTCCTGCTGTAGTCTCTCTCTCCCTGGGACTCTAGAAGTCTGTCTTGCCAGGGATCTATGTGTCTGTTTGCCTGCCTGTTTAGGAATCTTTCTGCCTATCTGGCCTGTGAACAGAGTGGCTGAGACTTTAGTCCACCTGCCATGCTTCCACCAGGGTTGGGTGTCTGTCTTTCTAGCTGCACGTCCACCTCCTACTACACACCCTCCTCTTGTTTAACCGGACCACCATCCTGACACTGACCATCCCTCCATGTCTCTCCAACATCCAAATTCTCCTGGCTTTCCCTCTGCTCAGCTCAGGCTGGGTGTAGGGGATGGAAAGACCCCCCAAGACCTCCACCAGCAGCCCTGGCTCACCCCTCTCCATTGTCCCAGAGAACTGCAAGCTGTGTTCCTGCAGTGGGACTCACTGCTGCTGCTGGCCCTCTTGCGCACCCTACTGGCGGCAGTCCCAAGCAGTGGGAGCAGCTGGCACTGTCCTGAAGATCCTGAGCACCCCAGCGCCCACATGCCACATGCCAGTCTGCCACCTGCTTCCCAGCTCAGAGTGCTAGGCCACCCAACAGAGCCAAGTGGACAGGGTGCTGGAAGGTACTCGGAGAAGCTTTTGCAATACTGTGAAGAACCCAGCCTGCGCTGATGTTGCAAAGGGGAAATAGTAACTTTTAAACAGTGGAGAAACCTGGCCGACACCACCCTCACCAAGAAGGCCTATGCGGAGATAGTCTGAGACTACTGACATCCCTATTGAACAGTTCTTCTGACTTCCTTTTTTGCTAGGCCACAAAAGGGAACAAAAAATTTGAAAAAATTCTCCCACTGCTCCACTCTTACAAACTTTTGGATTGGGTGTGGGCTGACCTGTTGGCCCACCTACAAGTCTGGCATTTGGCAAAAAAGGAAAAATGCCAGTCTCTCCAGTTACAAGTGGCAGCTTGCATCCACCAGCGATTGGAGGTAGCTGCCTTTGGGAGGGCTTTTGTTCCAGACTCTGGAAGCTCCACAAGACAAACCAATTTCCTAACTGAATAAATTACAAAGAAAAAAAATTAAAAGGAGAGAATTCTATAGGATAAAAGAGACTTAGAACTTATACACAGATGCTCATAACAGCATTATCAAAATAGCCCAAAAGTGAAAAGCAAACCAAATTTCATAAACTGATGGATAAATAAGGTATACACATGCAATAGAATACTGTTTAGCAATAAAAAAAGGAATGAAGTACTGACACATGCTACAACATGGATAAATTTTGAAAACAATGCTAAGTAACACCACATATCGTATGATTCCGTTCCAAGTTGAAGCTCATACTGCTCGCCGCACAACAGGCCAATAATCGAGAGACGAGTTGTTGGGACAAGAAATAAGACTTTATTTGGAAAGCCAGCAAACCGAGAAGATGGTGGGCTCATGCCCCAAAGAAACATCTTGCCTGAGTTAGAATTCAGGCTCCTTTTATACTAAAAGAGGAGGAAGTAAAATCAAACACTTCCTGGTTCCCATCAGCCTCTGGAGAGGATGCGTTAATTTCTTCTTCCCTGCAGTCATTTACAGGTGGACCTGGTCAGGATGTTTCCTGTAGGTTAAACAAAGGTATTTTAGCTCATTACCTGGGAAGCAGGGTTCCCAGAGATGAGCCATTATGTATAACTCAAGCTTATAGGCAACATCCCTTTAGTGATTAGCTTGTAATAGAATACAAAAGGTTCTTTCCTATTACAGTTCCTATGGAATGTCCAGAATAGGCAAGTCTATAGAAACCAAAAGTAGATTAGTGGCTACAAGGGGCTGGGGGCTGGGAGTTGGGAGATGGTTGGAGAGGAATGGGAAGTGACAGCTAAAGAGTACGGAGTTTCTTTTAGGAGGGACAAAAATGCTCTAAAGTTAGACTGTGGTGATGGTTATACAACCCTGTGAATATGATAAAAAAAATATTTAATTGTACACCTTAAACAGGTGAACTGTGTGGGACATGTGCATTATATCTCAATAAAGCTGTTTTTAAAAAGACAAGAGACTTGTCAATCATTTGCAATGAATGGACCCAAGTTGGATCCTAGTTCAAACAAACATAACATAGTCAGGGAAAACTGAACATTAACATGTAGAATTCGGAATAATTGTTGATTTTTTAGGTGCGACAGTGGTATTATTATTCCTGTTGAGTCTTATCTTTCAGAGATATATGGAAATATTTATGGATGAAATGATATGGTGTCTGGGATTTGCTTCAAAATAAATGAATGGAGTGGATAAAGGGAGTGGGTGGAGCTATGAAGGAAACCAGACTGGTCAACATTGAGATGAGCTCATGGACTCACTGTACAGTCCTCTCAGCTCTTATGTTTGGAATTCTCCACAATTAAAAGACTTAAAACAATCAATCAACATAGAGGTGAACAACTGTTTCTATAAAGAGCTAACAGGTCACAGAGAATACACATACACTAATAGTCAGTGAGTATTTGAAGATGCATAACCTCTGTCATAATTAAAGAAATGCAAATTCAACTGAGGACCCATTTTGCACCTAGAGCTCGGGCAAGATGCAAAGTCTGACAGTTCACAGTGCCTACAAGGACACAGGAAACACTCAGATCTGATGATAGTGGCTGGGAGAGACAGCCTCCTGGAGGACAATTCTGCAGCATCTATAATCATTTTCAAGACACAATTCCACTTGCAGTAGTTTACTCATCAGATA